ATTTGTAAAGCTAGGAAATGGGTCAAAAATGAATTTCGCGAGACAAAAATGGCGGCCATCTTGAAAATAGGCAAGCTTTTGAACCAGGCGTCAGAGGGGAGTTTTCTGTATTGATGTTGAACAAAAATAACTTAAAACGGGAATCCTATCGACAGAGGTTTTAAGGCAAATGGTTCAAAACTGGATTCCGCGAGACAGATTGTCAAATCAATGTTAACTAAAATGGGTCAAAAGTGAATTTCACGAGAGAAAAATGGCGGCCATTTTGAAAATAGGCGAGCTTTTGAACCAGGAGTCATAGGGGAGTTTTCTGTATTGATGTTGAACAGAAATAACTTAAAACGGAAATCCTATCGACAGAGGTTTTAAAACGTGCCACTATTGTTGACGGAAAAGTGCTTTTTTGAGTCAGATGGGCAAATCAATGTTAACTAAAATGGCTGAAAATAAAAAAATGGACATAATTTTTTGCTGATTTTTTGTAACAAAATTATTTCATATAACTACTCTTTACATTGACTTGGATTTTAACAATGCAGGACACCTGACATTATTTGTAAAGCTAGGAAATGGGTCAAAAATGAATTTCACGAGACAAAAATGGCGGCCATCTTGAAAATAGGCAAGCTTTTGAACCAGGAGTCAGAGGGAAGTTTCCTGCATTGGTGTTGAACAAAAATAACTTAAAACGGGAATCCTATCGACAGAAGTTTTAAAACGTGCCACTATTGTTGACGGACGGACGCACGCACGCACGGACGGACTGACAGACGGACAAGTGAGCGATTGCAAAAGCTCACCATGTGAGCTAACGAGAGCTACTCCGTTACATACACACTATATGGAACATTTTCCAATTTACCATTGGTTTTCTTGATTCCACTGTGCTCTCAAAGTTTGATGAATGGAGGTTTTCATATATTTTTCCCAGTGTGGCCAAGTAAGATAAATCAAATGCTAACATCATTTTTATTTCCCAATGATAAATCCATCGGAATTCATTGAAATGTCGGGGATTATTCTTGTTAAAGAGCACATTCTGAAGGCTAATTAATGTTCCCTTTTTGTAATGAAAATTTTAAAAATGAACATTTTGCATCGTTGCATACATGTACAATCAAAACTTTTGTTGTCATCATAATCAAGGAAGTGTTGTGATTTTTTTAAAGTTCTCAATATTCCAAAACTGAGAGCCATGCCGTCGTTAGATCAAAGACTGACAGTAATCAAAATGTGATACATTTGACGCTTTCAGATTAACATGAAATGGTTTAAGGATACATGGCTTAATCTTTAAAAATGTCTCTAACTCTGATTGCTGCATTTAGGAACTGAGTGTATTGGATTTGCCGTGATTGCTTCGGATTCCTGGAACTATAGGGAAAATCGCAGAGTTCGAACAACTTTGGTCCGAGAAGACGGGGCATGGGCACCTGGATCTAAAATTCTGCTGGTCTTTAATCAACCGACTTCAATTGTAAACTCTGGAGTAAGTATTTGTATCTTCAATGAGTTGCATTAAATATTTTCTCCATTTTGGCGATCATGACTCTTTCCATTTATCCTCAGTTAGATGATGGTCAGATACTTGAAATTAATAGGCATAAATTGGTTTCTTGATAATTTTCACATCATATTATTCAATTTCATAAGTGGTAAAGGTTTCATTGTACCACAAAATTACGAATTAAATGACTCTAGGAATTTAATTTTTGGACTATCACTGATCCCATTGGTCAAAAATGGTGTCGTGTGTTTTTAATTTATTTGCACATGGATTTTAATTTTCTAGATGAATCGCGCCAAAGTCACGAAAACGTGTACACATAACGGAGAAACATGTGCTTATGTTATCGAAACCAATAATTATGATGTGACAAACCTGGAGATTCAAATTGATGTACCCAAGGCATCGAGATATGGCAAAGGCGTCAAAGTAGGATCAGCGTATTTCCAAAACGAATACGGATGTTCCAATATTGATTCGTGTAATTTAGGTAAATACTATTGCCGTTTTGGGCTTTGTCATAATCAATTAGCGAGCAGTTGAATTTGTGCGCTTTTGAGCAAATAACTACAGTAGCAAATACAGTTCAAGATAATTATCTCATACCCGAGGGATTAGATTAAAAAGGAAAAATCCAATAGATACAGTAATATAAACATTTCGAACAGAGCGTTTGAGTTCCATGTTTTTCTTTTAGGAATGGAAATCGAGGAAGACCCAATAATAACAAGTGGTATAGAAAATGGCAAAGTTGTGTTGAAGGCCTCAATTAAATTGGCATCAAAAAGTCGTAAACGTCGCCAAGCAGATTGCATAGAGGGAGAGACTTGTACTGAAAGACCGGTTGAAGTCACAACAAAATCAACAACTGCAAGCATTGCCTGTCCAGGATGTCAAGACGAAGTTAATTGCCCGGGCGACGCAGGTTATAACGAGGAATGGTGCATTGCGGCAGCTGCAGGGACTGGAGGAGGAACTGAGGGAGGAGGAACTGAGGGAGGCGAAGCAACAATAACGTGTCCGGGATGTCAAAAAGAAGTTAATTGCCCGGGCGATGCAGGTTATAACGAGGAATGGTGTATTGCGGCAGCTGCAGGGACTGGAGGAGGAACTGAGGGAGGCGGAGCAACAATAACGTGTCCGGGATGTCAAAAAGAAGTTAATTGCCCGGGCGATGCAGGTTATAACGAGGAATGGTGCATTGCGGCAGCTGCAGGGACTGGAGGAGGAACTGAGGGAGGCGGAGCAACAATAACGTGTCCGGGATGTCAAGAAGAAGTCAATTGCCCGGGCGACGCAGGTTATAACGAGGAATGGTGTATTGCGGCAGCTGCAGGGACTGGAGGAGGAACTGAGGGAGGCGGAGCAACAATAACGTGTCCGGGATGTCAAAAAGAAGTTAATTGCCCGGGGGATGCAGGTTATAACGAGGAATGGTGCATTGCGGCAGCTGCAGGGACTGGAGGAGGAACTGAAGGAGGCACCGGTGGAGGAACTGAAGGAGGCACTGATGGCGGAACTGAAGGAGGCATTGGTGTAGGGACTGAAGGAGGCACTGGTGGTGGAACTGAAGGAGGCACTGGTGAAAATGGAAATGGTGAGGAGGCTGGATTCAATGCAATCGTTGAATTTGAATGGTTTGCTGGATCTAAGGTGATAAAAGAGGAAGTATTTAAAGAACCTCCGTATGTGTCCACTTTGGAAGAAGAGGATATAAAAGAGAATATTGGAAAGGAGGTATGTCCCATCTTGCCTTGTTAGTATATTAAATTGTATACTTAATTTCGGTCGATCAAACATCCTGTTTCAAGGATTATCGAAGCACCAAATCGGGAAAGACAAAAAAGGTATTACAAAATACTTGGAGACTCGTGAGATTAGTTAAAAAACAGCATTAATTTTTCAGTGGAAGAGTATGAGATCTTACAATCTTCTGATTAATACATAAATGTACTTTCAATTAGATTACAATCGTCGTCAAAGCTAAGGAAGACCCAAGCAAGCCGTTTGGCTGTCCAGTCTCACCAAAAGAGCCCGTCGTTGCTGGAGTTGAGGTAAATGCCACTTCTAGTACTATTGTATGAAGTTTTCCAATTGGTATCACTACAGTCAATATAATATCCAATGAATGGTCAATAATCGAACTCACTTTTGTGCATTGAATAATGATCGTAACCTCCTCAAATTTTTCAGATATCAACTGAGACAAGCGTTGATATAAAGGAGGGAGGTGAAGTGGGCTATGTTAAAATAAAACCTACTTTACCCCCAACGGACAATATAACCATACAGGTATGCGCTTTTTATAATTATGTTATTTTTATCTTAAATATCTATACAGGATTTCAAATAATATGCATTCTAATTTTACAGCAAAATATAAAGCTGTTTTTGATTCTGTGAAATTGATCATCCTCATTTATTTCATTAGTTGGTAATTGCGTTGACACCTATGAATATTATCATAAGGAATTGTAAGACGGGTGCTCATTCAGGGCAACATGTTAAACACAAAACCCTTGCAAAAAGGTTTGCTAATGATATTCTTAGGCTACTTTTTATGGAAGCATTTGGTAAATTTGAGTCATTAATTACTGAGAAAATACTCTTCAAAAAGTGTGACGTTTTTGGGACACCCGATATAGTGCTTTAAATCATCTACAATATATTGAGTTCTGGGCTTAATTTATTTAATAATATGTACAATATTCAATTCCGCCTGAATGAGAAGTGAAAAATTGTTTACTATATCTAAATATTTGATGAAAGCGGAGTTCAAAACTGTCATTTAGATTGAGAACGCAAGATCTTTTCCACTCGCCTTGATCATGTGGCCACATACGTCACATACATGTATACTGTAAAGTAGATTGTACTAGGGAGAAATATCTATTGCACTTGAACACTTGCATATGTTCATCCAGGTTGGTATAAATTCTAAAACAAGCGGCTTCAGACCAGTGAAGATCCTAGGTACAAATGAAGAGATTCCTCAACTGATTGTTGAGTATTCAGGTAAAGACATACACCAAGCGATTAACCTTTTCCACGGCGTTGTCATCTAGCGAGTTAACTTTTTTCATTACATAATATTTGATGAATGATATTTTGATTTAAAAGGTTTGACACACACTTTCAATCATTGAAGTCAGAGTGAATGAGTCATCTAAAATCAATCATATATTCCTTTGTTTATTGGATTTATTGGGTTTTATTAAATTTGACGACGTTGCAATTGGTTTTGACCCTTTGACACATTTCAACTTTGAGATTGGTTTTTGTTTGTCCCACATCACTCAGGACACTGGATGCTCCATCTTTTAATGAATATCAGGGTCTATTTTCAGTGTCAATCGTATTTGAAATCATTTTAGTTGTTCCTCAACAAACTTGTATTGTATAATAAAGGTTTGAATTATATGCCCAATTGTCATTTGGCCTTCGATATCGATTGATATTGATAATAGATATTGTGTGAGGGGTTGTCCGACATTGTTCCCGTATGCGTTGTATATCATAATTTCGATTACAACAGAGGAGATTGTTTAATTTTAACTGATTGTGCTCTTCGATGTTTTTTTCCTTCCTGTGCTTCATAATGACATATGTTCCTTTCTCTTAGGCACGTTCACTTATTCAAAATAACAATAACATGTCTAAACCATCCAGGCTTACACAAGTACCTGTAGGTCATGCAAATTCACTACCATATCTATATGAATATCATTTATCTCGTTGGTATATCGAAAAATACGACAACATTTTAAAAAGAATATTAAACTCGCTTTGTTATATATTAAGGTTCTGGGGCTGTCCCATGTGGCGTGACATTTACCAAAGATAATTGGGAGGAGGGCCAGCTTATAGGGTTCAAGGCCACACAGGACTTGGTGTATGATAGAGACCAGACTGGTACAGTAGACTGGATGATCACATCATCTCCTGAACTCTGGAAGGAATGTACAATCGAAGAAACGGAGGTATCTGATTCATTCTGCAATTTCCTTATAGGGTTAGCATTAAATTTAAAGTAATAATACGCTATGTTCACAGACCCCTGGATGAATACTGATATTTGTTTTAGATCAGGGTGCGCGATGGTGATGTGCCAAGGGCTCGAGGAATGTCTGTTAATGACCCACATATCACTACATTTGATGGGAAATTCTACAACAACTACCTTCGTGGAGAGTTCGTCCTCTACCGAAACAAGGAGGCAAATCAAGAGGTTTGTGCACGTATTGTTGTGGTTCGTTTAATTTTTGTTCGTTGTAATCACTTTCAAATGAAGGAACCAAACATAGACTAACACCATGTTGCTTAAGAATTTGGTAAATAAGACAAAGGGAAATTATACTTGTACAAAGTCTAATAAAGAATTTTCCTTCTCCTTCAGGTCCATGTGTTCTATGAGGAGTGTGGGCGGGGTAGCCAGGCAAGTTGCAATTGTGGTGTTGCAATTAGGAGTGGCACGTTCGTCTTTCTGCTGCACAAATGCATGAGGGCACGATATTGGGTTGAGAAAACGTTCGGAGAAGAGATACCAACAGGTTTCATGATTGTACCAAAACCTGCAAAAACCAGACAGCGATATGATGCAAGTGTTATGTTTTTGCAGATTTCATATTATAATAACGATTATCAATTAATATTTTTAGTAAAAATAGTATTTTTTAAGTATACGACCGAGACTATTTACTTTTTCAATAAATCAACATAATGTTTCCACCAAGGTCAATGAATTAAGAAATTATAGCTATAATTATTGTCAATAATTACATTTTCAGGTCCACCTCCCAACAGGTACCCGAATAGAGATACGTAAAAGTAACGTATTTATTAATGTCTGGGTTCAACCATCACCGGCTGATTTCGAGAAGACAGATGGATTACTAGGATTCTTTGACAAGAATCCCAGAAACGACTTGAAAATGCCCAATGGTAATGTATTCAAAGGACGCTTCGATGCACATCAGCAACCAATTGCATTCATCAAGGCTTGGAGGTAAGATTAACGGAAGAAACATTTGATGGTCTCCAGTTTCGTATTACCTTTAACTACGGTATGTAGGTCACCCACATCCTTCTTCAGACTGACCCTAGCCAAAAAAACAGAAAAATATAACACTTTCTTAGTATCTATGCAATCAACTTTATCCAGGCACTGTCGAGAAAACAATTAAGTACATTAAAACAAGAAAATAAGGTTCATTTCATTCATGTTGAAGTATGGTTAAACGTTTAGGTGGTTCTGTTTTGGGTCACTATGTTTATACTTACAAATTGCATTTGACCTAGATGTCAAGAATGATGAGCCCGAGGGACGGCCGAACCTAAAAGTTTGATTAATAGTAGATCATTGTTACATTATTTTTACGTATACCATAATAAAACTATTAGAAAAAACAACGACAAACCAGAGTTCGAAATCCCACTGAACAAAGGCATGTTTTATCAAGATCGCTCGTCATATTGAACATTTCAGAAGTTAATAGAAATACCAAGAATTAGTATTCTTTCCTCTTTTAAAAAAATACACCCATAAAACGATATACATGACACTATATTAGAACATTTTTCCTCTTTCCTAATTTAATCGAGGATACATTTCTTTTAAAAATAGAGTAGCACGGACTAACTCCTATTTTTCTGAACTGAATGCTGATCAGCTGAAAGAATATACTGCAGTTAAAAAGTCGGACAGAACATTCTGTAAATGCATCATCGAAAGTAAGTTAATTGATGAATTTAGATTAACCCACTCCTTCCCATTAAGAGAAGACAGCATTAGATTAATATTCAAAGGCCTAATTATTATGCCATTACCGATCTATCCTCCGCATCCTCTACATCCCTTTACATAGTATGAGTTAAATATTGGAACTAACCTTGATTATCTCGTCAGCTATATTTGAGTAAGATCTGATCGGCATAACAAGCCACCCGCAACCCAAACAGCACATCCAACATGATCTTTATTTATATAAACGTATTGCACTAATAGATGGCAGGATTGAAAGCTCTTGCCAACATAAGACTGATGTTATCGCCAAACACAGACCCAATGCGGAAGAAGATGTAACCGAGGAAATGGTTGCGAGAACACGCCGCAAAAAAGAAAGAAACGCAAGAAGAAGGAAGAACAGAGGGAAAAGACAGACAACAGACCCTGAAAATGAAAATGTGTTTGAGTACGATGAAAACTTTGAAGCAAAGGTAAGGTTATTCATGTCCGATACAAACCTCATTATCGCGGGATCCTTTTCACCCCCATCTTCAGATGTACATATTATATACATGTATGGTGTATTCGAGTTTTTATCGCAAAGTAAGAATATCCAGACAGAATTAAATGATTCAGGACCCATGAGCTCAGAGGGTATTGTTACACTTCTCTCACATATAAATAAAACGTGATAATGTCTTTTCCAGGACATTTCGTGGCCAAACAATGGTTGGACAAATGAATCTGCGACTGAATTCTGTAACGAATATTTGACTGAATCTACAATAGGCAAAGGCTGTACTACAATACCGAATGTCGATATCAATGTGGAGCTGCAATCATGTGTCCTTGATATTCAGGTTTATCTAGTTAATTTAATTTATCCAAAAGTTTGAGAATTCCACCTCACCATCAGACCTGGGCTATCTTGAATAAAGAGATTTGTATAAAATAAAAATAGACGGAGAAATTTTAGAATTGCAGATAACGGAATATGAAAGCAATTCATAAATTCTGCCTTAAATGTTTTATTTTAAAAAGCAACAACTATAATGAAGTTCTAACAGCTTGTTGGCCGTCTAATCTGTATCTATTATATTTAATAATTAATACATTTCGTGTTACGTATGCCGGTTTAATATGTTGTCCAAAGAGGGAGTTATTGTTGTCAAACTTTTGGAATGGAGCATATGATGTAGATTAATGTGTCATTGATATTCCTGTTAATATTAACAGATTAAGTTATAATCTAGTTTTTGTCGCAGGTATTCAAGTTAATCAATTCACAAATAGAGTTTCATTTGAATCCTTTTGTAAATTAAGTTGAAAGTCTAGTTTAATTTGTCCTTCACATTATTTTTCACAAGCTGCAGTCTGATTTCATCCGTCCTTGATAGTAATTATGTCAATTGAATCTAGTTTCACGTGTCCTTGGTATTCATATTATTTAATTACGATTAGTTACAATCTATTTATATTAATAAGTTACACTCCCCTCCATAAGTTTGACAACCTTAGCTCCCCCATTGAACTACGTGTTAAATCCTCTTTACGTTTGAATTTTTATTCACTTAACCTGCTATGAAATAACAGTCTTATAATATTGATGGAAACGTAACTTGATTTCATTTCCAATACCTTCAAATTTTCACGCTTTTCGCTTTAACACCTAGTTCAATGGGGGAGCTAAGGTTGCCAAACGTATGAAGGGGAGTGTATATTATTCTTACAAGTATGCATAATATGTCATCACAAATTTATTTTCTCCCACCAGACTACTGTTCAATAAAAATAACATATCAATATCGTTAATTTGTATAATCCTACCTGCATGTTTTTAAGCAAGCTTTTGGGATCCACGCTTCAATGTTAACAATGCGTAGGTTCGATATTAATAGAACAGAATTGCAATTAAAGAGACTCTCTTGGATAAATGGGTTTAGATTTGTGATTTAATATCTTTAAAATTAAACAAATTAGTGCATTGGGGAAAATATGTTATTGAGAGGGTGTAACCATATGAAGGAACGCCTATACTTAGTTAATCTTTATCAAATACATTTTACCATTTCAATGTTAGTAAGAAATAATTAAGTTTAGGTTAAAATATTATTTATTAATTGGTGTGGTCATTTTCTTAATTACTCATACAGAGTCATCATTAAATCGCCATATGATGTTTACCTAATAATGTTTTATCTAATATAATGTAACCATGGCTAGTAATCTAGTTATACTGTCTCTATTGTCTCTCTGTTCTTAATATTTACTTCGTAATACTATCGTGTGTTGTATTAAAAGTTTCCACATATGTAATATTTGATATAAATAAACCCTTAATTTAATTCACAAGGATATGAATTTACAAAAATAAAAGATACAGAAAAGTTAGCACTTTAATGATCCTACCCCGACATTTTATTTGACACCACGTTTTCTTGAAAACAATGACTGATCTTATTTTAAGTATTCTCTTTTTTATGTGTCATATTGTAGTTGGCTGGCAACACAGACTGGGCAGAGGCTGCATTGTCATCCCTGATGCAAAAATGCGAAAACGAAATTAAACAGAACGATGAAAATAGCGACGATGCAGCAAAGGTTTTAGGTAATAATAATTCTATATTATTCAATTAATTTCAGTCAATGCGATATTCATTATAATAGCATCATGTTGGGGCTATATTCAGTTTGCCGGGAGGGTGGTCGGTCGGTTGGGCTGGTGTGCGTCCCGATAATTCTTGTCTATAGATTTCCAGCAATATGAAAACATCAGGGATGTTTCTATGTATGATGGTTTAGAACTGATTAGTTTCTTGGCATTCTAGGTGAATGTTAATGGATTTTCCCTCCTGAAAACTGTCAGTCGAAGCTTGTCTACAGCTTTCAAGGGTGCCACATTGTGCATCATGTACTATAAGTTATTCAATGACAATGATTCGAGTGAAATACAGCCTCGGAAAAAGATCTTCCCGAGAAGGTCTGTATTTCACGATGCTGACAGAGTGAAATACAGACTTTCAAGGTTAGAATATTTTCTGTATTTCACGAGAAATCATTGAATAACGTTTTTATTCCATGATTATTCAGATAAAACTCCCCTAAAATTCGGGCCCAAATTCAAGTCCATTTCCTTGGCTTGACCGGAGAAATAGATCAACCTTCTCACCTCATAGATATTTTTGATCGATATTCCTTCAAAATCTTTTCGGCATTGTTGTTTTCTTTTATTGTACGTCGAGTATTATACGTCTTTTCGACGTTTGTCTTCAATTTCATCAACCGCCGGAAGTGCGGTGTAGCGAAACGATTTTTCGACTTTCGTCTGCCATATTGGATTTTTACAAGTTCATGAAATCAATGAGCATGCTTCAAATTAATTTCTTATATTTAAAGATGCGCGTTTTTATCCTAAGATTATTAGTCGTGATGATCACAGTATCATTTCTTGATATTAAAATCAGATATTTCTAGCAAAGTGCAAAGACGCGGTGGTGTACAATAATCATCGCCATTGAATTTCTCAATAATAAGTCATATCCTGGATGGAAATCTGGGGCGTTGGGATACTGTCTTGTATTATGGCCGTTTCAATTTGCAAGAGAACTTCATATCGGAGCTTAAAGCTCATAAAGAACCTTTCCAGAAATTTATACAGCCATGAACGGCATATTAATTCAGCTAATAAAAACATTATGATATCCCATTATGCTTCAATTAAATTGACAGCGAAGTAAGCTTATACCAAGGTCTCAGGTGGAAAATAATTCATAATCACACTGGCTCACAATTCAAACTTGAATATCACTGAAAAATATTATACAAGATATGCTAATCTACTTACAATGTCGAGTACCACACTTGTATATGATCTCTCAAAGTCCTGCCATAGCAACCATAGCACCCAAGTGAAATTTGGCAATTTTCATCCATACGCACAGTGTGGGGTCGCCATTAAGAATATTAATGTTAGCATCCTCTTCTTCCGCGGTGTCCGTTATTGAGGGGTTGTACCCCACCCTTTGGGTACTCAGGGGCCCATCTGTCTTTCTAAATGATTGGTCTGGCTGATATGCCGTTACTAATGAGTATTTCAAACTCTACTTGTTTAAGGTAAACTGTGTCCAAACAATTGTAATGGTCAAGGCGAGTGTATTGAGGGGAATTGTAAGTGCAACTACGGTTACATTAGCGATGATTGTTCAGTAGACAAATCCCAAGCCCCGACGTCGTTGGAATTTGACGACGAACCCGTGTGTGATCAAACAGAAGAGGATTGCCTTGAAATAACCATATTAGGAACTGGATTTGCTGACACACCCGATTTGACATGCAAGTGGGAAGCCATGCAGGTAGAGTCAAGATATAAATTTGATCGTTAAATTCTTTAACTCCCACATTTCAACATTTCCGCTTGTGTGGATGTAAATTACGCCTATATGGACGTAATGTGTGCCTGAACGTCTCTATGAATGTACACTTACACTGGCGTAATTTACGTCGACACGTGTAATTTACGTCCATACAGGCGCAATGTTACGTCTACACAGGCGTAATTAACGTCTTCACAGGCGCAAAGAAACGCCTGTATTATTTGGTAGTTTCACCGATCATAACTTTGAGCATACCAAGGTGACATGACATACATCAAAACGGGCGAAATATTTCTGAAAAATTCAATAAGGGAATCTATGCTAAATACAACTATAAATTGATTACCAGCTTAGATCTAATTACGTACACAAAATGAAAACTTAAGTGTTGTTCAGGGACCCTATTATTGCCACTTCAATCAGATCTCCTCGCAGTAAAAAGGATATGCGAAGAGTATCAGAAAACACTAATCGTGATAAGTTGATATAGTTAGAATCAAACCAGAATAAAACACCAGAAAGACAAACGAAGTACAACATATACTAGATCTAGTCTATTGTAAACAGGTTAGACCTGCCATTGTTACAAAAAATGATCATGAAATGTAATGTAAAAACATTCTTTCGCAGACAAAGCTCAACTTAGAAAATTTTAGAAAAAATATTTGTTCTAGCTTTTCAAATTCAACCAAAATGTGCAATGTAAATTATATGAGTCACAACAAACTTAGGGGCAAAAGTCTGGAAAGGGCCTAAAACTTCCGGTAGCACCCCCAGAGTGTCACGGAAACATAGGGTGTTCTAGTTTTGGTCCCACAGACATGACCTACGCATCATTTTGTATACCTGATACCATTAGCTTTTAAATGATATATAAATTGACTTCACCCCCGAGGTGCTTAGAAAGCTAAACATTGCGCACCTCGGCCCAGTTGGGCCCTGGTGGAGTAGCACTCTGTTTTCTGCACCTTGGCCATACCAAATATTATTTCAATATCGAAAAATCTTACTACTAGCTTTAGAACTGTGCTTCTGTATCTGTTGGAGAGTAGTGCAGTTTTCCAATCGGAATGGCTAATTTGCGATATTTCAATGAATTATTCAAAGCTTCGATATTCCGTCTTCATTTTTCAGATCCAGATAATCACAATTTACGTTATATCATAAATGATTTAATGCAATTTTGAAATGTCCGTTTCGAAATATGATGGCTAGTCGTAGAAAATGAGATACACCATCAGCGCTCTCCAATTCAAAGGTGAAGATCCTCATCGGAATTCCGTTTTATTAGTACTACAAGACAGGCGTGAAGACTATCGTTTATGAAAATTGTTTTGGAATTTTCTTTATATTTCTGAAATCAATTTCAGAATTCAAATTGAAATGAAATAGAATCAAATCTTTGATTTAATCAACAAGAACATAACTATAACGACTAGTCAAGTACGAGGTGTCCCAAAATCATACCAAGCTCTAACGATTGACCAAAATAAACGTAAATATTATTATGCCATGCATTTCATCTCTGGATTCCCAAGTATTTACAAAGTGACCCACTTTGTCTTATTGTCTATAAGGCCAGTTTAAGAAGAACATGGGGTAAGAGGAAGATTAGAAGATTAATGGAACAGCAAAATAACAGAATGTTTGATATTTTCACAAATTGGGTCAATTCTCTCCATATTGTTTGAGAAGATGTATTGTTTCCAGTTGTTCTATGTGTATCCGCTAATGTTTTGATGCTCATATTCTGCAGTTAGATGTTAACTTTATTAATTTGTTAGGGTGTAATATGACATTTAAAAACAGTAAAAAAAATTCAAATTTTAAAGTCCTTAAGCTTAGCCAATCAAAATTGAGTATTTTGTAGTGCTTTTAATCAAAACCTACTGCTGTAATCTACAGTAATCCTGACGTTCAGATATATCATGTTAAAGTGTGGATGTAACCAAGAGGAGGGAAAACCCCATGATTCAATTGATGACATACGATTTCCTCCTTCGCGCACGTCCTTTCCCGGAAGTACGTATATTTGTTTACCCTCCATCTTGGTTTTCAAATTGACCTAGTTTTAAACAAATCAACGATCGACTCCCGGCGAAACCAATCAGCGACGATGTCATCTCAATACAGATTTACATTATAAGCGTATGTCATCTTTGAACCCTGGGATTTCTCCACCTCTTGATGTAACCTGACATTTTAATTGGAATTGCTAACAAGTTTCAAGCCCCTAAAAGAGACGAGAAAATTTCTCCAGGGACAACATTACACCGGACACTGAGGCTGTATGAGGTAGATCAGAAACTCATGATTACAGGAAACGTGCGACATTGAGACTCATTCCTGTATAATTTACAACACCGTTTACAAAATTGAATCATTTACAAAAGAATTGTTCTTTGAATAAAATTGATTACTTAGATTGCTTCAATAGCAAACGTTTTAGTACCCGATTTACTCTATTTATGGACTTGTGTTATCGGAGTCCAAACTTATTGAGAAATATATGTGAATCCAATTCTGTCCTAGAGACAGAATAAGAGATATGGGAGATGAAAAAGTGACACAATGAATGTAGTTTTTACAACCTAATATATGTATCTCCATAAAAATCATGATGTCTCATGATATGAGATTGTGAAGATATTACTAGGTTCAACGTACAATAAAACCCAATACTGATTTAAATAAACGACCTTCTAATTCTTTTTTCCAAGATACTAGTAAAACAAATGCAAATAAAGAAGTCGCCATGCCTTATACAAGTATACATAATACGAATATATATATAATATATATCTAAGTTGATCATATAAGATCACACGAAAATACCTTTGTGTTGAACTAACTTTCTGGTGATCGTTTAATGATTGCTACAAGACCTTAATTAGGAAATGTGTTCACAAGGTCTATACTTATTTATTCATTCATTTATTTAATTATTTGAAATATCCCTTGGAATTTGCAGCACATAACAGTAGGTGCGACACATAGATACAATAATATATAGACTTAAGAATAATACATTTATATTTTTGTTTTGCTCTTATCTACATCGTGAATATACTGCATATCCGTACTTTTTAGATTCACAATGGCATGACTGTTGTACACAATGTCTACACACAACCAGCGACTATGCTCGCCTTTGATCAAGTTATCTGCAAACTAGACAAATCTAAATCGAAGAGAGACATCGGAGCGCCAGTATCAAGTGGTTATCTAATTAGTATCAGTAATGATGCTGAAACGTACGGAGAGAAACTCCGATATATTCTCTACGACTCGACGTGCATGGATTGCTCTGCAGAAGGAGCGTGTACTCATAAGGTATTTAATTGTAATATAGAGATACTGTATATGTTTATGCGTATTGTAATACGTTATACGTATAGTGGATTGATTGAAGTTTGGCGTTTGGCGAAAATATGTACTTATACGTATTTCTTGTAGAAATGTATATTTCATCGATCAATTCTAATCTTCCTCTTACAAATAATGAATAGTTTTGTCCTCCATACTCTTTGTTCAAAAGGTGGATCATACCAAATACAACAAGTTTCCCGGGATGATTGCTCCATAAACTAATATCGCAACAAATGATGACGTTGTACACAAACTTCATAAACATTGACTTTACACACCGTCACTATATCATATTCCATTTTCCAACTACATTATTCCCTCTAGATATCCATCGAACTTGTAAATGATGTAGTTAATGATGGACGATTGCGTCGTTTTTACAGATGGATGTGTTGACCATTTGATGCTCTAATGGACTTCGAGACTAATCTCACTGTTCAAATCAATGGCTAAGCTTGTATTCGCGAATGCAACTAACGCAAGTCGGCTACCGGATTAACCTACTTAACCTTATTTTATGGGCAGCTCATTTAAATATGAACAGTACCTGCCATTCCATTCATATTTAAATGAATTGGTCATAAAATAGTTAGGTTAATCCGGTAGCCGACAGGGGACAGGCGTTAGTTGCATTCGCGAATACAAGCTTAGTTTTGACCCTATACAAAATTCCCTTGCCCCGTTGCTCAATCTGGTGATTAAACTGGAATGTGGAACCTCTGCCGCGTGGTGATTTATTTGAGTTGGTATATGCATGTAACAAGGTGTATCAGGCCGGAAGATCATTAATTACGAACTGACGAACAATACATTCTGTCAAACGATATAATAGAAGTCGGGATTGATGTATGGCAAGTAACATAAACCAAGACGTAAACAGAGATGATTAGAATGAAGCTTACTACATCATGTCAACTTGCTACAGTCTGATTTATAGCATCCTGTTAACATTGTTTATAGATGGGAATCTACCCCAGAGACATGGAAAAGCTAGTCCAAAAACAAATAATATATAGACCTGCAATATACTCAATATTCTCAGTTCTTATTTGCCATTCAACATTTAAGTGCCTGGTTTGTTTTGAACTCGAACAAATATGAGCGTTCTTGGAAACTAATAACGACACAAAAAAAGGAGTTTCGTCCTAACTGAACGCCATTCAAACCATTTCTAGATTCAAAAGCTCTATTAAACAGATATTTATCCCTATTTCAAACTTCATACCAACTACAAAACTAAATTTAAGTAGAACCAACGAAAAACTGCTAAATAGGCTTCGAGTTGATTTTGCCCTTAAAGATCATTTCTTTACTCATAATTTTACTGGAATAATTGACAACAAATGCCTCTGTGGCTCTACTGAAGACACAAAGCATTTCATTCTAACCTGCCCTCGCCATACCCCTGAACGTAATAAAATGATGACTGCACTTAATGAACAAAATTTATTGTTTGATACTCAACTTATTTCTAGTAAGACAGAACAGGTCAAATACTTAATTTATGAAAATGAACTCACTATTGATTCTCAGAAAATCCTGATAGATATAGTGATGCAATTTGTACAGGCCTGTTATAAGTTTCCATCAAATTAATGTTATTCTTATTTGTATCTTGTGAAACCCCCCCCCCCTCCCTCCCAACCTCTCACATTACCAATTAACCATCTATGATTACTGTAATTAATCCTCTATTGTAATTTAAACTACCTAGAATGCCTATGGCGATTGGTAGTAGATATTTTGTGTATTTTTTTGATTATGAAGGAAATAAATAATATGTTAAAAAAAACAAAAAAAACTGAAAGCCATCAGAGTTGGTAGTCCCTTTTCTAACTTGGTCTTATCATCTTAATTTGCAGGACCTATATCATTTTTTGTTATTATGCGTTTTACGTTTTTAAGTGTGACGTTATGCGGACGATCATTTAAAGACTGCTTTTATTTCCAGAGAGACACGTGCTTTATAGATACACGGTGCTATGTCCATGATGATCTAAATAGTGCTGATGATTGTGAAAGGTGCGACAGTGTAGCCAGTCAAACTTCCTGGACCAGGTCGAAAGGTAACTAAATTGAAATTAAACTTTCGACTGTCGGCTACCAGGTTAACCTACAATTTTATGACCAACTCATTTAAATATGAATGGAATAGCCAGGTACTATTATATTCAAATTCAAATGAGTTGCTCATAAATTAGTGGGTTAAGCCATAAGTGGTTACTGTAATCGTAGTAATATTGACTATTCTTCAGCCATTAGTCGTTACGATTGTTACGACGGAACCATAAAGGTGTATGCACTAACACATGCAACAGTGCCAAATATGTGAACATATCTCAATGGTATTTTTGGAATAATTAGTGCAATTTTAGTGCTTCTGTTTATAGCAAAAGTAGCTTTACTTACTGAACAACCATATTTAAAATATCAAGAAAAATGTTCGGTTGGAATATTTCTTTAATATAGGTTATCATGTGTGGGAAATCCACACCATATGACCTTTGTAAAAGGAAGGTCCCGCCAAAGGTTAATTACATAGTAATTTCGGAGGTAAATAAGCTCTCGATGATCTAGGATGTCGAAATGGCTATAAACGTCAATCAATCATAAAACACAATCAAGAATCTGTTCTAGTAACTGATGGCTTTTTATCTGTACCTCAAATTAGAATCATAAATAAAAGTAAGATCCATAATTCACTCCATGATACATAGGCATATCACAATCCAACCAATAATGCCTCTTTTCGACTGTGGCCTGGGACGAGTCAGTCAAAATGCGACCTGGTCGAACTGCGAATGAGTTGGACGTATTGAAAACTGTTTTTTTAACGAAGTAGCTAATTCTTTTAGACATATCCCGACAATAACCAGATTTGGCCCGGTTTCATACGACTTTTTAGGACTGGAAAGAACGGTTGAGAACTAGTTTGATGTGATGGGGGCTATGGATTTTAATTTTGCAGCTCATATTTCATCTTAGTTTTCATTAGATGTCAACAATATTAGACATATTTTTAATTTGTTCTCTGTGACATGTATTGAAATGATGTAGTATAAATGCAATGCCCTGTGGATATACAATTGAATTGTAATTCAGTGTGATATGAGCCCTCGGTTGTTGGAAAGAGATGAGACTGAAACATTTCTGTGCACGAGATTATAGTTTATATCACTGTGGATTCTGTTGTGGGTTGTTCTTATTTGCTTTTTAGTTGTGCTCTTAAAAATGTATATTTTTCCTGCCGTATTTTGTTATTCTGTTTGATCTACCTGTACTTGTTTTTGAGTTTATATATTCAGCTAGAGATCAACTTTCCATAAAAAGTCCGTGGGCAACTATCTACTATTTTTATAAAAAGCGCAATTGAAGTTCTATTGATGTTGATCGATCCACTTGCCTGGGGCCCGGAGGCTATCAGTGGCATATTCTTTAAACGCATTTCAATTTGCTCTAAAAATGTTACAGAATAGAGATGGGGGCCATTTTGAATCTTTCGAAAAAGTGCGATATTCATTGTTAAACTCGTGGAAGAAATTAAGCTACAATCTAAAACATGTTTATTTCCCACACATTCTCAACGACACCTCTTGCTCTTTCTTGATATTGTAAAGACATACCAATTTGGAGATAATTGTGAAGCGACCAATTGCAATATTCTAGCCAAAAAGCGCACATGAGCATCTTTCGTACTGTTTCTGATCAAATCATGCTGGTTGGATCCAGGTAGGTAAAACTTAAATGAGTGATTCAGAATGAATTATGCAGTCCTAGCAAACGTTGGAGAATATGCTGTCTTGAAAAATTCAAACCCACCATTTTTTAAATGAGCCAAGCTTTGTGACTCTTTCAGATGCGACGTCAAAATTTTACAAATGATGTTGATATCGATATCTATACCCAGACTTAGTGGTAAATCATAGTTATAGGATCCACTAATCGTTTTGTTATCAAGGTGATGGATTAGATGCATTTGATGGAAATCGGAAAGTGGACCTATTGATCATGATGCGAACGTTACGTTACATTATTAGGGTATATTATTTTATATGAGAAACAAAACAATTATCCAGATCCAAACAGTCTTTAACAGGCTTTCCCTGGGTGGGAACTTCTAACTTATGGAGGGGAGTGTATGACTGTACGTCCATTTGTTTACGATTTGTTTTATCTGTAATTCAAAAGTAATAAAACAGAACTGATTTTGTGTCATATAAAGAGATCAAGAAAATGAACCCATAGAAATGAAACACATATATTTCATTTCTAAAACAGGAATGTAATAATTAAAAGTGATGTTCATACCATACGCTAATTGCATTTCTAAGGATTTATAGATCATTTGTTATAACCGTCAAACCTAATTTACAATGAAATATTCATACAAGCTCATTTACACGTAATGATTTGACCCATGTTATCATTAAAGGGGTATCTCAAAAGTTCAATGTAGGATTCTAAATGCATTTGCACAGTTAATCTATGACCCCCTCATAACTGTGTTTGAGAAATTGATAGTTTTTGTTTCGAAATTCACACTACATATCTAACATATAACATGCAGTTAATGGTCTCATTCGATCTAGACCAGACCCCATCGACAAAACCTTCATATTCGCCACTTGGATTGGATTGGCATAGACAGGCTTCAGAACGGTCGTTTTGGTTTAATTTTACTTTGTTGTGTTCATGTTTCTTTATTTATCGTACGAGAAGTGCACTGGGCGAACAGAGCTTGCACTAATACAATTCCCGGGAACGATGTCGGAACGGCAACTTTTAGGCTAATGACCCCCTCCCTCCCTAACTGTGCAAATACAGTTAATTTTCTGATATCTATCTTTTGAAATGCCCCCTAATCATTGCTTTAGTTTGTAACTCAAAAATTGCTGAACTTATCTGCCACTCGGGTCCTCGTGTTATGTCTTCTAATTTAATCACAAATTGATCTATATCCGACCAGGGACATCTTGACTTTTGGCTTGTATAACACTTTATACCATTGTCAGATCGGCAATATCAGTTATATAATAGCAAGTGATAAATCACATATTCGTGACAGGGATGATATCAGGGTTGATATCAGGATTAGAGGGAGGATATAAGGGATAATATCGATAAATCTTTCATTTTTTTCAAAATCTTTCGAAAATGTTCAGTTTTTCAAGTTTTTGGGTCTAAAAATGATTTTGACTTTTCAAATTTTTATAACATTTTCCTTTTCCTTTCCCTTAGATTCTCATTGCACGTTAGGGCGGAATAATTATGTAACCCTACTATTCCTAAGAGTCAAACATTTTTTCTCTCATTCACAGAGGACCTTAGGTAAATAATGCTCTTGACCATGGTATAAGGTCGTTATTCACCTGTCGGGATGATATGAGGAATATCCCTCGGATGATATTGATATTTCCCTCGGTCACTGCGTTCCCTCATCATCCTTGTAATATTCCCCTGGTGAATAACTTCACAATTAATATACCCTTGCTGCAAGGGTGAAATAACTATATTGTGTAAAGTTTTTTCATATTCACTTTCGGTTTGTAGAAGTACCACCCTATATTTGATTGGTTTTGAATGACACTCAATCTGTATGCTCGCTTATTTGATTTTCAATTAGAACTTCATACTTTGGTAATCCGAGATGCTAAATCCGAGGGTTGTGAACTAGTGTGAACGTCTCAGAATGCAGTATTTCCACATTCTGATACTCATAGCATCTCTCTCTGTTGACTCGCAGATCTCTCCAGAAGGGTAGCGATGGAAAGGGCGTGGCTTACCACGATGATATACAAATCGATTTTCTCAAATAAGAAGCAAATAAAATATCCCGAGACATTATTCAGGCGGAACAAACGCCAAAATGCTTATACTCGTCTTATATACTTCCAGCTGCTGAATGCAACAATCTTCATGGGACCAACATTGTCATCATTGTCGTAATCGTTGTCCTAACTGCCATCTGCCTCATCGTGGCCATTGTAGCAGGAGTTCTCCTGTCCCGCCACAATAAGAAAAGGTATATGCAGGGTTGTCATTACTGTTTAGCAACAATCTCTTTTGTTGACCCCCTGGTTTTTCTTAACAAAACATTAAAACAGGTCGTATGAATAAGAATAACCTTATTTTTTGTATTTCAGTAAAATCCAAGAAGATAATGGAAATACTTTAACACGAGCCCAGAAAACATATGGATACGTCACAGCGTAGATATGAACAATTACAATATGAACAATTACTGTAGGCTACTAGTTAGTACTCCTAAGTCAACAAGAGAAACATAAATCCAATCTGTAATGCAAATGGTCTCATGGAATTCTGAATTATTGTACTTCATATCATTTCTCAAATCTATTGGGAACCATTACGTATGCATGAACACGTTTCAGGAGTAATCGTATCGCTCCTCTCTCGTGGGTGCTGTTGGGAGTGACTGTTGCGGGACCATCTAAACATATCTGATAACTTTTAATTAGATGATGCGAGTTTATACGGATATATGTAATAATACATAATATAAACATATAATTAATTAAGTTTTGAAGACTTTTCGCCGGCTTATGATAAATTGTTTTACATTTCATTGCAAAAGTCCTTGAACGAATGTAAATAAGTTAATAAATTAGATCACGTAAATCATTGAATGGCAAGATTTATTTCACTCGATCACGAATATTTCAGCATAAGATAAATAACTTTTTGACAAGAAATTTCTACAATATCTAGATTCTATTTTGGTCATGATTGGAAGAATTCTACTTATTTTATATAGAAATACCAACTCCAAATTATAACTCCATCATATTACTGTTTGTTCAAGAAAAACGCCATTTAATGTAAACCTGGGGAAATATGAGATAATTAGTTTTGACAAATATAAATAATTATCATAAAACAATGTGCCTGATTATTTCATTTCTTTATCATAATTGACCATTGTAAAGTTAAATTTATGTTCACCTCAATTTTGAATGTCACGTGATAGTCACCACGAGGCTTATCACTGTTCCACAACTGGATGACTCTAACTGCAGTTAGCTTCATTCAAGATGGTTGCCGAGATTCTTTCGTTTTCGATAAACCTCCGATTTCAGCTAAACTAAGTTGAATCTTGATTCCAAAAGTTTCGCCATGCAAATTAATAAAACTATGATTGTATTCAACCACAAATGAATGCTCTAACACCCATAATATTAGAGAATTTTAAAGAAAACGACTTCACTTAGAATGACTCTAACTGAAGTTGATGATCAACGCCATCATGACGTCATCATCAACTTCAGTTAGAGTCATTCTAAGTGAAGCCGTTTTCTTTAAAATTCTCCAATATCGCGGTTGTTTGAGCATTTATTTGTGGTTATTTACCATCGTAGCTTTATTAATTTGCATGGCGAAACATTTGGAATCCAGATTCAACTTATTTTAGCCGAAATCGGAGGTTTATCGAAAACGAAATGATCTCGGCAACCATCTTGAATGAAGCTAACTGCAGTTAGAGTCATCCAGTTGTGGAACAGTGCTTATATGACCATTCAAAGATCACTCGTAAATAATTTATCGGTTACAAGCAAAAAGGATTGCCAGACAGAATGCAACATCGATATTCTCCAACAACTGGGGATAGAGGTCCATGGTTCAGAGCACCACCTGGCTTGCACGAGACATGCATGGTACAACGGATGCTGTAACTTAAATGTATCGGTATTGGAATTATCTAAGTATAATCTAGGGACGGCCACCTCACGTTACGAAATAGAGTCATTTAGAAATATTTTTCGGTGAATCTCTTACTGCTCACATAGGCATTAAGAGTATAATCCTCTTTGAAAAGGAGTTACAAGAATCGATACCAATATACCACCCTTGAATTCACGACAATTGACCAGTGTGTTGCGAAACCTTTTTACTGTCTTATCATTCAATTAAGCGCTGCTCATCTTTTTCATTAAGATGTTCCAATCATCCTAAAATAGCAACATGAGATTATAGATTGCTTTTTAATGAGCACAGGGTAACCACGTTGACCCAGACCTGTCATAGAATTCAAATATCGGATACATCCAATTGATCAAAAGTATGCACAGTTCATCAAACAATAAGAAACCCTCATCGAAGCCAAACACCGTTGATGGCATACCGTATATCGTGAAAAACATTTGGTGAAGAATGCTCATAGTCAAATGATATTAAAGGGAAATGAAAGAGGATGTAGCGCAGATATCTTAATTGGCATACCTGTGATTAGTTTTCTGACACGTTATTCTTTACGTCAATGGTGTTCTTTTATTAGATCACATGGTGAGCTGTTGCACTTCAGTTCGTCGCTTATCTGCCCGTCTGTCCGTCCGTCCGTCCGTCAACAGCAGTGACACTTTTTAAAACTTCTGTCGGTGGGATTCCCGTTTTGAATTACTTTTGTTCAATATCAATACAGAAAATATCCCTATTACCCCTGATACAAAAGCTCGCATTGTTTTTTATCTCGCAAAATTCACTCATGGACTATTCACTGGCTAACCTCTGTCGGTAGGATTCCCGTTTTAGTTTAATTTTGTTCATTAATACAGAACCCTATGACTACTGATTCAAAAGCTCGCCTACTTTAAAAATGGCCGCCGTTTTTGTCTCGTAAAATTCACTTTTAGACCATTTACTAGCTAATTTCTGTCAATAGGATTCTCGTTTTAAATTATTTTTAAATCATCAAACCTCGCCTACCTTCAATATGGCCACCATTTTTGTCTTGCAAAATACACTTTTGGACCATTTACTAACTAACTAACCTATGTCGGTAGAATTCATGTTTAAAAATATTTTTGTCTAACATCAATATAGACACACCGATGACTCCTGATTCGAAAGCTCGCCTATTTTCAAAATGGTCTCGCAAAAATCACTTTTGCACACGTGTCCTGCATTGTAAAAACGCATGTCAATGTAAAAACTAGTAGCCTATTATGAATGTAAAAAAGTCGGCAAAGATTTATATCCGCTTTTTATTGACGGCCATTTTTGGATTTCCAGACCTTAAATCTTCTGCATTCTGAGAAAACCATTGTCTCCCTTTTGACGAACAATGACTTGCGATCAAATCGTAAGTTACCATTGGAAAGCATTGAATCATCAGGCATAGTCCCAACTTCCGAGGTCCATTTGGAATGCTTTGAACCCCCGTGTGATTATAACATCTATACCTAAATGTATTGATTACCTAATATACTTGTATAGCTAAAATATAGACCTATATATTTTTCAACTTGTGATATAATCCAAGGATATATCACTATATACTAATTATCAAATGAACCACACCATAACCTAATCAATCTTTTCCCAAGCAAGCAATATCGCCACCGTTCGAACCCTCTTTACTCTGCAGACATTGCAATTGCCTGCCAGTTGGTTATTCGAGAGATGCTATTTAGCTACAAACCCTTGTGACGCCCACGAGAACAAGTAGGTGCGTAGTCATCAGGGGGGGGGGGGGTCACAGGGTCTTGTAGCTAGACGATCGAGAGGCTTTCTCTATTCACATTCTGATACTCACTGAAAACGTCACATCTCCATGCATGCTATGTGAAAGCAATATGCTCTGATTTAGGTATAATATTCTTCGATCAGATACCACCTGCTTGTTGGGGTACATGTTAATCTCTCTCAGTACGTAATGGCTATATATTTCTCTCAATGCTCGTACTGACATTATACTACTACGTATGTGCACAATGCATTATTCTATTGTAGGTACACTCCCGTCCATAAGTTTGGCAACCTTAGCTCCCCCATTGAACTACGTGTTAAAGCCTCTTTACGTTTGAATTTTTATTTACTTAACCGGCGATAGAATAACTTATAATATAAATGGAAACGTAACTTGACTTTATTTCCAATACCTCCAAATTTTTGTACACTGAGTGTTTAGTTTTTTCGATAAATATTAAAGTAATTTTTGAAAATAATTTTTCGCCTTCTGTGTTATTTCAATGGGAGAGGTTTTTTGAAAAACAATTTTGACTTTAAAGC